TCATCCCTGAGCCCCATCTCCATAACACTTACACAGTTGACCTTGGGGCTAGCGGCGAGGAATGCAAATCTGAGGAGGCCGGATCTTCGACAGTGTTGAAACGGCGATAACCGCCAGGGCCAGAAGGGCTCGATCCAATCGGCACGTCTGTGCCGACTGCTGTATCACACTATTCCCGTTTTTGAGAAGAAGAAAATGCGTCTAATTGGCTGCCGACTGGCGTTGGTCGAGGCGAGATGGGCGCTCTTGGTGCTCCATTCTGAAGCAGAAAAATGTCCGCGAGAAACTACGTGCACTACGGCGCCCACAAAACATTCCTTCTCGTTGGTCTCATATCATCTGCCTCCCTAGCCTCCTTGTCAGCCAATCAATGTCACCATTTTCCGAAAGTTCTCGTTGCGGCAAGTCCAAATTCGACCTAGCATCGACAGCGGACCTGGAGACATTCTGCACGCCATGCATACGAGGACGCCACTTGGCCAGCATTCGGCTTGCTGGTCTCTGGACCCAACTGGTCAGATCATCACAGACTTCACGCCGGATTCTTTGTCAGCCGCCATCTTCTTCAAATTTCTTAGTCATTGCATTGTTTATCCGGCTTCTGGAGCCCAAGCAAGGCGATGGAGAAATACACGAGGTTTCCACGCCCTCTTCCAGACCCCGGAGCGATGGCCCTTTGGGCAGTTCTTCCCACATGACACGGTCTTGGGCTAAAGGCAACCTTGCCGTGGTTTAGCTGAAGCGACCCGCACTTCCGCCAATCACTTCCGGTTGGCAGGACGGCGTCGAACGTCCTCAGCACAGGTGTCTTTCTCTCTACAGGCGGCTTACCTTTCGTCTACTTCCTGCGAAGGTTCCGTGCTGCGAGCACCATATGTGAGTTGACGCTGACTGCATCCTTCTGTAACATCCAGTAAACGCTGCTAAGCGGTATCCATGTCAATTTTTGGAAATTTGCGGAGTACTATAGTCACAAACCCAATGTCTAGCGTAGGGACGGACCATGGGAATGCTGACATTTCCACCAGGGAAAAGGACCCCCAGGCATCCGTGTTTTTCTGTTTCCCGAACGAAATGAGCGGGAAGGAAGGAGCATATCGACAATCCCTCAGACGACTGCATCCACCCTACTTGAACATGCGGATTCTCCGTCACGATAGCCTGTTCCACCTTTTCATCTTCTCCTAGTCCACGCAGATCCTCGGCGCAAACAGTTGATTCCTGCCAGAGATCCGTTCGAGACGGTCTGTGGCGCAGAGACTAGTGAGAGTTTCAGCCCGAGAGCATGCCACCAGGGCAGGATCTCACATTTTTCCACACCCGCCAGGCTCAGGAGAGAGAATCAACATCGCAACTTGCCGACTAACTAACCTGTCCAGCACAGAACCCAGTCTGTTGACCCCGGGAAAGTATGCGAGAGCGTCAACCTAACCGCTCCTGTCGTATAAGACTGGATTGTCGCCCAGATATTCCATATTTTAGCTCGATGACTATAACTATTCTGGTGCCCTCAACGTTCCTGCAAGGCTTGGTGATGACAGCAGGCCAATTCTGCAAGATTTGATTTAGAGACCATGACTGTTGCGAAGGCCAAAGGGGCCGCTCCCATACCTTTGTAAGGGACTTTGCAAAGAACTGCCCCTGTGGATGACCCACGCGGATGGAAGCTATGTATTCCTCCTGCAATGATTTACAGGTTCGTCTCACACCCAGATCCAACCGCTCGGTATCGAGTCGATCCCCCGAAGGCCGCAGGGATTATCATCATTGTCATCCGTGAAACTGAGATTTATTTAAGTCACCTGAGTCAGACTATCTCATAATAGCCACCTACAAAGATATTTCTTCATCCATCTATGCCAAGAGAAATTCGTGGCTTGGACCTCACTGGCCTTTGCCGGCACTCGCCGGCCCTCGCCTACATGGAAATAGACTGTTCTCCTGCCATAATTGGAAAGAGAGTCTATTCAAACAAGGCTCCGCTTCACAGCTTCCGAGAGAATCGGAAAATTGGCATTTCTGTATTGCCAACGTCGCGAGACATCTCTACTACCCTTGAATTCTCCCCCTGGCTCACCTGTCGAGCAGCCTTGGTCGATCACTTAGTCGAGAAGGTATAGCCAACCGTATCCAGGTACCCCCTGAGCGCAAAGGAACAATGGTCCCTCGGCTGCGACGGTGTATCGTTCAAGCGTCAAAAGCTTAGCAAAGCTTGTATACTGATGACTACGCAAAGACATAGTGGTCGCCTTGTCTAGAATGCTGATGAGCAAACCATTACGCGTCAGCCGCGGACACAGTCCAGGGTACCTTGCATACCTGCTCATCGGGAGCCGCCTGGAACTAGGTTTCGAAGAGCAGGTCCCGAGTGGATACTTCTTACTACTGTTACACACAGTATGGAGTACGTTTGGTGACCCATTGCATTAACGGCTAGGTCAGTTTCCATAAGAGGTATTTACACTTTCGGAAATATATCCTCCCGTCACCTTCGGTTCCGTTTTCCTACGGGGAGGGAAAACCACGTGATCACCCACCCCTTTGAAACCGGGGCCAGTGTAAAAGGGCTTCTCTCTCCCAAATTGTTCTGGACCGAACCAAGGTATTCGCCGGTCACCGCCACACCGGATCATGTCTTACAAGGTCGCTTTCCCACCACAATCGTGGCAGTTTGGTCATGATAGCCCCTTAAGACGGGCACGACGGCCGAAAAGACACACCGACCGAGGCATTGACGTTGGGCTGTGTCAGTGCTGTCCCATTACCCACCGACCTTGCTCTTTGGCGTGCTGTCGTGCCTAGGCAATGCCTCCGTGGGCCCACATGATTATCGAGGCGTCCATGTACAACGGAAAAAAAAGACAAAACTCTGACAGAATCATCCAGGTTCTGCTGAAGACGGGACGGGTTGTCTTCTAGGCTGCCAGGTGTGCATTCTCGACTTGGTGGGTGGAAAGGGCTCAAGCCCCTATCCACGGGTAGATCATATGACTCGGCCGACAGGTCAAACCGGGTACCGTGTGCCATGATGAAGGTAAATTTGAGAAACGCTCCGCCTCTCCCACGATCCTGCGAGCAATGATTCATCATTCGCCCTGTCTTGTTTGCTTGAGCCAAAGACCTGGGGATGAACTCCCCTCCTTGCCGACATTTGGTGACATACTTCTCTCGCTTTCGCATCATTAGAGTTTCTTATGACATTTTTATCTGCTTCCATGTTGACTGGATGCACCTGTACGGTGAGGCTTGCTATTTCCCAGTTGCATGACTGGCAATGAATCGCCGCTGCGGGCCATGGGGGATGCGCCTTGTTGGCCTTCCACACTTTCAGTGTTCCATTTGGCATCCTCCGACACTTCGGCAGCGGCCAACCTCGATCAGCTCACAAAAAGCTGGACTAGCGCTGTTGAAGGGTTTCTGGCCTCAAGAAAATATGCCAGAACATTGGCTAGCTTCAAATGTCACCGCGCAGCCTGAAAGTTACCACCTACTTGTCCAGCATCAGAGATGCGTCGAGCTTGTGGCAAGAAATGTTCGCAGGAATATATGTTTGCTATCGCCGTTGACGGGGCATGCGCAGAAATGGAAAGTTAAGTGAGGTAGTCAAGGGCGAATTGCGATATCCATTCGCGAAGGTCTGCCACATAATATCTCTCAGCGCCTTCTTACCACCGTCTTCGGACAGAAAATTGGCGGTGAAAAAGCTGAACTCCTTGTGGTAGCTCCGGTTCTCCTACAATCTACCATTTCTCACGCCAGATATTGACAGTCTTACTTGATGAAGAGCAACTTCATCCTCTGGAATTTCCCGCCGAGCTGGTTGAATTCGACAATCTGACGAGGGGACGGTCTAGCTAATGCAGAAGTATTTAAGACTGAGGCCAGAGCTGGTTGCGGTCCATGGAGAGAAAAAGAAATTGTCAGGTGCTTTTCTGGCGTGTGAACAAGACACTACAATGTTGATGCGGACAAATTGACGAAGCGGACATTGAGGGAAGATTGTCGAAAGCAAGCTGTTGCCGGTGGGGATCCTGGGTGTGCTACAAGGTTGGTGAAGGGAACCAAGGGACCATACGTCTATTCACGACTGTGGTGTCGGTGTGCAGATAGATAGCGAGGCCGACAAGGCTGACAAGGCTGAACTCCCCTAGATTCCATGTGGGGTCATATCACGTCATTTTTATGGCCCGACGAAAGTTCTGGAGAGGTCCCTAGGTAAGGGACAGTCCTTATGGCAAGAAAATGATGCCGGCCTTCCGTATTGGCTCGTTTCCATGGTCGAATTATGGGCGATTTGATACTATCGATGCGACGGTATCCAAGACTCACTAAGGGATTGAGGATTGGCACCACGTGATCCCCTCTTCCGCTACGAAATGGTAGGTTTGCCGATGGATCCACATCTCTTCTCCGCTTTGCCTCTCTAAGATCTGCCTCCTTGGTGTCTCCACTATTATGTTTCATCCGACGCGAAACTCTTCTCTGTTTGCTCGTGGTAGCCGCCATATCGCCAATGGTCGCGACTTAGCCCTGTGTTGACAGATAAATTCTGCTTGGGTCCGATGGCTCAGTGTGCCCAACGCGGGTCACTCTCAATTCCCTTGCACCTCCAACTACGGCCAAGGAAAACCCGAACAAGGACGGGTTGTCTTACATGCGTCGCGCGCAAGAAACGCTGTGATGAACAAAAACCGGAATGCAATGCCTGTATCCGAAATCTCCGTGTGTGTTCCTGGCGTCAAGACCAGACGCGAAATCCACCAGGAGCGTATGATGGTACCAAGGAGTCCTCAGCCAGTCAGCCTATGATATCAGAAACTGAGAACAAGGACGAGAGGAGATTGTCCCGAAAATCCCAACCCTCTATTCATACACTAAGTGTGCCTCACAAAGAGTTCTCCTACCATCTGCAGGGATCCCGCGAATTGTCATTACAATGGAACATCCCGGTTTCGTCAACTTTCGCAGACTCTTGGTCGCGTGTTCTTCTCGAAAACTACATGTATAGGACAGCTGGCGTCCTCGCTGCAAGGAAGATTATGGAAAACCCCTATCTGACTTGTGTGCTCCCACGAGCACTGTCAGACGAGCTGATTCTTCATTGCGTCCTAGCCTTGAGTGCTGCTCATCGAGCTCATGAAGAAGACTCTCTTGACTTCAAAAGTCTCTACAGCAGACATTACGTCCTGGCCCTGCGCCAGCTAAGGCGGGAGCTGTCTGAGGCTGTGGGCGCCAACGGCGAGGAAGAACTCCGTTTCCTTCTAGCCGCAAACTTATTGGCCACGCTTGAGGTCAGTGGTTCTGGTTCCATTCAGTTGCCGTGCATTAGTGGTAATTTCATCAGGCCATAGGGGGCAACACACACGGTGCTGCATTGTACCACCTCCGCGCCAGCCAGCCGTTTTTGTCAGCCGCACTTACTGCATCATCCAAATCGGCCCATCGAGAGCTTATTTCTTTTCTGGTCGAATCACACGCTTACATGACTTTGGTTGCCAATATCACCTTTCCCAGCGATAGTGTCTTGCAAGATTTGCTAACAGATCCTCTTCTTTCCTCTCTGGAGCAACTTCGTTCGGAGGGTACGTACGGTGTAATGTTTGGATGTGCACATGGTCTATTCCAACTCATTCCAAGCATATACACCTTGGCGAAAACTCGAATGCAAGAAACGGAACATGGAGCGGTGTCCTCTGACGCCCTCGCCCAATATTCCTACATTGAACAACAGATTCGCTGCTGGCGAGTCCCCTCTGACCTCCAGGTTCAAGGTGAATGGTTCGACCAACTGTCGACTGCTGCAGAAATCTATCGTCATGCGTTGCTGATCTTTATGCACACGGCGTTTGAATGCTCCCCGACAGCCACAGAAGAGATAATGAGGAAACTGCAGCCTGAAATTGACGCAGTCTTCCCTCTGGCCCAGCGATTGTTCTCTTATGAGAGTTTTCCTCCTGTGGCGACTATTATGCTTTGGCCGGCCATTATCCTGGGCTCATGTCTTCGCCGTTCAGAAGACCGGCGACTGTTGCGAAATATACTATTGGACTTTCCTTTGAGAATGGGAATTGTCAAGCAGGCTGCGTCACTGCTTGATTTACTCTGGAATGATGCAGCCGATGATACATTGTTTGGGCCCATGGGTTTGTACATTGTTATGGTCAAGAACGGCATTAACTTCTGCATGGCTTAATTGTCCAGTCATACTAACCAGTGACCGGATGAGTCTCTGTGGCATTTTCGGCAACCATTGCGGTCTCTGGAGTTGACGAACACGTGTCCCCAACGCCTGAACAACCTAGGATGCAGGGCTGCTCGGTTCCATTCGTTCAAGACGCCCGTCGGAAACCAAGGCCGTCAATTGTTACCAAAGAGCCAGTTTTGGTTAGTCGGTAAGCCGGATCAAGCCGGATACTGTACTTCAAGACAAGTGGTCATTTTAACTTCGCAGCTTGTCAACAATAGGTAACGGTTCCCTTGGAACTCAACCAAGGCTTCCCCACGCTGATGTATCTATCCGCGGTGATCTAATCTAGCCGAACAATAAGACTTTGGAGGGTCTCGTATCCCGTTTGTGTCCACCCATGATATACGAGGCAATATTCTCCTGCCTCTCTCTAAACTGGCTGGAACCACTGCCAGAGAAGTCGAAACTTCACCCTCAACACAACGTCTTTTAAGACTGCCGGGCTACACATTTACCCCTCCGATTTACGGTGTTGATTGGAGAGACAATGACAGAGTACGACGTCATCGTCGTCGGCGCTGGATATGCTGGCCTGTCTGCTGGCAAGACACTCAAAGAGGCAGGAAAGAGTGTTGTCATTCTTGAGGCGGGAAATCGCATTGGGGGTCGAGTTTGGACCAAATACTTTGAAGACGGCACCTACGAGGACTATGGTGGCATGTTTCTTGGGGTCCAACAACCTCTCATGTATGAACTGGCTCGCGAATTCGGTGTCCATACTTTCAATGTGCCAACAAAGGGGAAAACGGTGTTTTATTACAAAGGAAAAACTCGGAAATACTCAGGGCTCATTCCCCCAGTTTTACCCTGGGCTTTGATTGATGTTGGATTGCTTATCCGGAAATTCGAGTCCATGGCAAGGATAGTCGACCTTGAGAAACCGTGGAACACTCCCAATGCGCACGAGTTGGACAAGATTACTGTTGAGGACTGGATGCGGCGTCAATGCTGGACGTCGGTAGGGAATGACCTCTTCAGGGTTGCTGTCGAGCTTGTTTGGGGCACCGTTCCCTCCCAGATCAGCCTTTTACATGCGTTATGGTACTGCAAGGCCGGAGTTAGCTTCACCGTTCTGTCGACGATTGATCAAGGAGCCCAGCAACAACTTGCGCTGGGTGGAGGGCAAGCAATTGCCAATAAGATACATGAATTTCTGGGGGATGTGGTTCGCTTGGAAGAACCCGTCACTCATGTCGATCAGACCAAGGACCCAAAAGTCATTGTGCACACCCCGAAAGCAACATACACCGGTAAACGAGTCATCTTTGCCATTCCTCCGCCGTTATTACTGAAGGTCGGGTTTGAACCCCAGCTGCCCCTACAGAAGACGCAACTACTCCAGCGAATGCCTATGGGCGCCTATTGGAAGATATTTGCCATTTACCCCAAGCCATTCTGGCATGAATCCGGCCTGAGGGGTGAAGGAGTGAGCCCAGATGGAATAGCTGCGTTGATCAACGACGTTTCTCCAGAGGACCGTAGCCGGGGGGTATTGATGGCATTTGTGGTCGGACCCAAGGCCTACAAATTCGCCGCCATGGACGAGAAAACGCAGAAGGAAACGATTCTGAAGCAATTGAAAGCATGCTATGGCGAGCAGGCTGGGAACCCCGTCAAGATGTCCATACACAGTATGATGAATGAGCCGTGGTCATCTGGCTGCCCCGTGGCAGGTCTTGCTCCCGGCATGTGGACGACTCTGGGTGAATGGATACGAAAGCCAATCGACCGATTACATTGGGCTGGCACCGAGACTGCAACGTCCTGGTCTGGATACATGGAAGGTGCTGTGCAATCCGGTCAACGTGCTGCAAAGGAAGTTCTTCTTGCTTTGAAGTGAATATGGGTGTTTTTATGGGGAACAATTCTCCTTGTTGCCCCCTCGAAAATAGTATGATTGAAGTCCCTCCGCAGAGAAATTGGAGTTTGGAATCTCTTCTCTCCTTACTTGAAGAGAAAAGCATGTTTCAGTAACATTCAATGTGCATTCTCCATCTTGTCGCTATTTCTCTGGTGTATTTCAGGTGCAACCTCTATTAATCTACGACAAGCACTTTCTCTTCGACCTCCGTATGCAAGCAGATGGCGAGGCTGACGAGGCTGAACTTCCCCTGTGTCAGATGTGAGATCATATGACGTCATTTTTATAGGCGAGCAAAGGGGTCCTCGATGGTCCTATTGTACCCGGTACTCCCAGACACAATACTCTTCGACTTCTCTCCCGTACAACATCTTACTCAATCCACTGCGTCTCAAGACCAAGATACAAGGGATTTCTCCGTTGCGGCTTTTCCATCACTTCAAGATCCCCGACCGTATAAATCAGCAGCCATGACAGATTCGAAAGGCGGACACTCGAACGAGTTTGAGCCAACGTCACTCGACGCGAATCAGCACGGGATCGCACAATAAGTCATTCAACATGTTCTCAGAATTCACAGGCTGGCCCCTTGCCTCGAACCCAGTCTCGAAGTGGAGAATCTAAACGCGGTCGACTATAACCCAAACCGACTATTCACAGCACTTTCCAGTCCACTCACTAACTTGTCCTTCTCCCGCCCCTCTCAGAAATACCATCGACGAAGGGAAATCCAACTACGGAGCCAAGACCGCAGTGGGCCGTGACGTTGGAGCAAAGATGCCGACTTCCAAAGTATCAACCGGAGGATTCGGTTTACCAGAGATTAGCAGCGGTGGGCCGTCACTGAACCACAGCGTGAATGAGACATTGAAAGGCAGGGCGGGAACAGCACAGGGCAAGGCACAGAGGATCGACGAGAGCGTCAAAGTCGGCGGCGGAGAGGATCTGCATGAGGTGGCTGCAGCGAAGCAGCCGTGAACTTCGTCCGGTTGCCAGTCTGTGTCCTCAGCATGTTCAACCAGCGGTGTTTCGCCATCAATGCGCTTTCAACGTTGAACAGCCGCTCCCTCGCCCACCGAGATCAGATCGGCTATTTTTGTGGCGTACAATTCTCATAGCCGGCACATACGTACAGCGTTGAGAGGAACTTTGTTCTACGGGACACGAGCAAGGAGGGCAGAAATATTCAAACCTTAGCCGAACTTTTATCGACGGCCATTGTTTGCCGGTCTGCTGGGGCGCCACCAATCTGCCTCCTACATCTTTTAGGATCTATTAGACATCCGCGCAGCACCTGGCTGTTGGATTTCAACCTGTTGGGAGGGAACATCACCGCCGCCAACCAGCCAAAATGAAAGGGCTAATAATGAACCAAACGAAAAGAGTCAGTAAGTATTTTGATATGTATATCAAGCCCTGCTCCCGGATTGAAGGTCTTTGTTTGTCATCAGGGGGCGGAAAAGGATCAAGATTGGTCCGATGAGGAGGCCTCCTTCCTCGCTGTTAGTAGTTACGTTGGGTACAAGGCAAAGACAGAAGTAACAAGCACAAGCAAGTTAAAAGGTTGCAGGCACGAGTCGAACCGTATTTCCGTTTCCACAAAAATGGACACACACACACATTTACACGTTTATCTATCACCTGGACCAATAGGCCCTCGCGGCAAGTCTCTTGTAATGGCCCCCCTTTAATCACGTGTCCGATTGCTTTCCTGCATAGTCTCACCACCTCGGATGATGATTGCCATTTAAATCTTATATCTGAAGTGCAGATTCTGCTTGTCCGTCAGGTCATCAAAGCCCTCGAGCAGTTCTTCTTGCTGCCTCTCAGCATGCAGACCCTTTTGGTCGCGGGCCTTGTTGTCAAAGTAACACCATGCCGTGTAGATGCACTGCAGGAAGCAGAGCGCACAGTAGGTGCCCAGTAATCCTTTGATGGCGGTGAAGTATCGCGGCGTTTCCGAGGGCAAGAACAGGTGCGGGCCCGTAATGTTTCCCGCGCAATAGAATCTAAAGGAAGGGGCAAAGTTATGCTTGTTAGCTACATAGTCCCCGAAATCTCCTTCAGGTGACAGTTCGAATTTCACGGGGAAAAAAAATGTGGCCACCTACACGAAGAAGATTCCCACCACCGCAGTTCTCTTGGTATGCCCTGCCACATTAACGCCTGGGAGAGTCCATCCTAGGATGATAGGCGCCCCGAGAACGTTTTGCAGCCAGCAACAAGCTACCAGCGCGTACCGATGTTTGATGTTGATGGTCAAGAGACCAATCAAGCCCGCGATTCCGGGCAGGCATGAGACTGGGGAGGACAGTGGCATTAGCTCGTCGAGCTCGAGAAGTGGATGTTGACGAGCTTCACTCACTGATGATGGTGATACCCAAAAGGTTCTTCTTGGTCGCTACCCAGCCAAAACCCATGCACCCAATAACCTCAAATGCCCCACCAGGCGTCTGCAGCAGGGTCGTCCGAAGCGCATCGAATCCGAAGCCTTTGATCAGGGCAGAAGCAAAGTTTGCCACAGCACCGTTCAGAATCCCCGTGCAGGTGCCCATGAGTATGACGAGGTAGGTCTTTGGGTCGAGTAATGCCTCCTTGATGTGGCCAGGCACAATCTTATTATGTTTGATGCCCATCTGATTCTTCGATACACGCCAAACAGCCACCATGCGTTCATATTCCGTCAGCATTTTGGCGTTATGAGCTCCGTCGGGAAGGTAGAGAATGATCACGAAGCCCCAGAGGAACGTCATAGCCCCGACAATCTGCTGGATGTCAGGTGCTACACAGTCAGCTATTGAAGAGCTGCCTTACCAGATAAATCAATTTCCAGTTTGGGACGGCAAGATGGACGGCATGGCCACTCCCGTACGCAAGCAAGGCACCAAGAATTGAAGAAACTCCGTTTGTCGAGAGCCAGAAGGATGTTCGGAGTGCTTGTTCTTCCCTTGTCCACAGCATAGAGGTGAGAAGAACAAAAGCCGGAGATATACAAGCCTCCACCATGCCCAAAAAGAAGCGAATAGCAAAGAAGCCGGAAAAGTTGAAAACAGCAGCTTGCAGCATACAGACAACACCCCAAACGAAAAGCATATATCCGATCAATCTGCCAATGGGATAGCGCTGAAGGATGACGTTCCATGGATACGCGCCGGTGAGCCAGCCAAAATATAATGCTGAAGCAACCCATGAATAGTCATCTCCTTTCATATGGGTGTCTTCTTGAAGTCCGTATGCGTTGGAATAGTTGAGGCTGCAGTCGTTAGAGCTTGGCGCTAGCCCACAGTCCAGTGGTAACTCACGTCTGCTTGTCTAGGAAGCTTAGCATGTAGGTTGTCATCATCTACCAATATCCAGAGTCAGCTTGCTATCTCTCGATGGTTGTTGTAGAGAACCGTACCATAGGAATGACAATCCAGTCGAGCTTTCGGCGAACTTTGATGGCATCTCGTTCAAGTTGATCTTCATCAAATTCAAGTGCCTTCTGCAACAACTCTCTGCCGAGGACATCAGGGTCATTCGCACTGCCTCTGAGGCGGTCGAGGATGCTCTTGGAAGATGTGGGAGCAGTTTCAGCATACGGTTCAATAACCTGGACGGGGGTCTTTTCCATGTCGGCCATCTTCAAGGCGTGTATACAAAACGCTTACGGCACCTGGAAGAAGCTGGACGGAAAGATTTTCTGGGATGCCAGATCTGTCTTATAGATGGCATGATTCTGGTTCTGTAGGGAACCCCCCCTTATCGGCACTAAGCAACACGGTGATAGCTTTTGGAAGCAGCTGGTCAGTGAGATAAGGGTCTCGAACAGTAAAGAGCATGTACCGATTCAACGGCCTTGATGCAGATGCAAAGGTGTTGTCCGTTTGCCGCCAATTGATAACTATGGTTCTCTTGCCTAGGTGAGTATCAAATGCGGAGATTTGCGATCAAGCCGCAGGGGACCTGCAATGATCTGCATTAGCCGGCGGTTGAGGCTTCTGCCCGCTCCGGCGCAAAGCGATGTGATTCGGGGCGATGGTAGCAGTATGTTTGTAGTTCCACTCTTCCTGGATAATGTTGTGCTTGGCTCTCAACCGGTGTTAAGATGGTATGATACAGGGCAAGCGACACATACAATCGATTCTGCGACACATCGACGAACACTGTCAAGCAACCCACCTTACCTGTTCCTCTCAGCCACACAGGCGAAGCGTAACAAGTGGACACAATGCTCGATAACAAGTTCACGGTCAGGCGAGTATCAGAGGACAAAAGGCCCTTCGTGGGCCTCATGGGAGTTCATGGGGCGATAGGAACAAGGGCCTGAGGACTGGCAGCAAGCTCAAAGTCCAGTCGGATCGAGGAGCGCGCAAAGTGCAACTCTCGCGCCATAGATATCTCACTTGGCGCTCCATGTTGGGTTCCCGACAGGAGATAAGCCCATTTTGTGACCGGAAGGATCATGGCATCGAGGCGAAGCTCCAGTCTTGTCATAAAAGATGTTCTTTGGGCGAAGGTACATGGATGCTTCCGGAGGCATTTATATAACTAGATTTCAATGGGGATGAAGGAGAGGGGAGATACAAGCAGAGGCAATTGTAGGAAACAACATCCTGGTCGGTGAAGGGGCGATGGTCGAGATGCTGATGTGTAGAGGTCATGCAGGAGGCAATCGAGGCCACCGGAGATGGATGAAAAAATGACGTCACGTGCCACCGCCCGTTCTTCGCCGCGCTTTTCGGTTGGGGTTTTTGGCTATTTCACAGGCGCGTTGCTGGCATCAATTACTTCACTCTTTATCTCAATGCTCAGAATGCTATAAAGCACCTCTCAAGACTGCATCTCGGAGCCTCCTTAGCAGATGAATACAACCAAGCCTCTCACACATCAAGCGAGATGGCGGGCTTCTTCACCTGGTTGTGGGACTGGCTGCTGTGGATGTTCTGGGCGACCGAGATGGACGTAGCCATAGTCGGATTGCAAAATGCCGGCAAGACGAGTTTGGTGCGGGTCCTTGCGGTGAGTTAAGTCGACTGCCGGTAGTCGATCCAGTCGGAGGAACACTGACTTCATCATATGAAAGGGCAATGAGTTCACCGTCGACACCCTGCCGACAGTCGCTTTCAACAAGAGAGAAGTCAAGAAGGGCCACGTTTCAATCAAGTGCTGGGATCTCGGCGGTCAACCACGTTACCGATCAATGTGGGAGCGATATTGTCGCGGGGTCAATGCCATCCTCTTTGTGGTCGACGCAACCGACATAGAAGCGATCCCGGTTGCTCGCGAGGAGCTGCACAATCTCATGGACAAGCCTACGCTCAATGCCATTCCTCTCCTCGTTCTCGGCAACAAGTCAGATTTGCCCAACAAGCTGTCGGTGGACGACTTGATTGACCAGCTGGACCTGAAGACGATAGTTCGACGCGAAATCAGTTGTTATGGAATCAGCGCGAAGGAAGAAACGAATCTGGAGGCGGTGCTCCAATGGCTTGTTGCTAGGTCAGGGAAGTGAACAGGCCTCTTTGTTTCTATGTAAGGGGATCAATCACGGTGTTTCGGAATTTGGAGCACAAAACCTGTATGGATCGACGGTACAAGGCTTCAGCATGGCGCGAAGGTTCGAGTTTGGACTATTTGTACGAATACGCAGTTCCCCTACGCATAGTGCATTATTGGCTCTTCCAAGACTAGGCATATCTGACTCCTGTTCTCGATGTTTGAGAGGGAAAATGATGGTAAGGGATGGCAGGTCCCATCATGGTACTGGGAGTGACTGGCAGACCACAAACAGGCGATTGAAGCACGGGTAGAATGACGCGTAGCCAAGACTCGGTTCGGATGAGGAGCCCAAGGAGCCCAAGCTGTGTCCAAGTTGGTGCCTGGAATATGGGGACGAAGCAGCTGCCGAGGGCTGGATTGGGGGGGGAGGGCCTCTGGAGCCAATTAAAAGGGTGGTGCTGCGCCACCCAAGATGCACTATTGCACTAGGACCAAGAACCGAGGACACCCCGAGACCTCAAAAAGATGTGCCCGGCTGCCAGCTGTGGCCATCACTGGGCCCGTCACCGCTGTCACGCAAATCCTCAACTGCGCCAGGCTTGCTGCGCCTCCTTCTGGAACAAGTACCAGGCCGAGGATGCCCATCATACGTTTCCTTTTGCCTGCGCCAACTCATCCTTAACTTGACCATACGTGCCCTACCTGATCGCATCATCCCCATTTCCTCAACTCAAACTCCATCAATATCAAATATCATTCCAACCAGCCTCGTTGTTGATTTGTGTAAGCACCCTGTCCTCTGCGCCTCAGGCACGGCGGCCACCCACCGCGGCAAGGAACACACCGTACCTACGAATCACCGTCATCTCCTCCACCTTCTTTGACATCAGCATATTTCACGCACACAACGTACACGCACACACAGCAGCCATGAACCCCAGACTCGTCACCCGACAGTACTATGGAGACAATGTGTAAGCACTGCCATCCTCGGATGGAATCTCTTTATATTTCCTTCATACCTCGCGCTCGCCTTTCAACGCAGTCAGTTCACATCAAGCCTCCTCTCTGCTAACATTATTTCACCATGGCCAGATGCATCGACAACAACGGTGTTGCATACAGATGTAATTCCGCGTGGTATGACTGGGGCAGATGGGTCGCCCTCGCCATCATCATCCTCGGCGCATTCCTCATTTTCTTCCTGTTCAGGTACGTTACAGTCATCGACGGATACCGCCTCAATAGCATTGTACTGATTTGACGCAGCTTGTGGAGTGCTCGCCGAAGACGTCGCATGGGAAGACAACCTCTGTACGGCACAGGATGGACTGGACGGACGCCTTGGGGTCACGGAGCTGCTCAGTACAATCCCGGCTACCAACAGACACAGCAACCCTCTTATCAAGCCGCCCCGCCTGCCTACAACCAAACCCAGAGTTACGGCGGCTACTATGGCCAAAACCAAGGCTACTTTGGCGGAAGACAGACGGACGTCGAAATGCAACCTCCGCAAAATACCTACAGAGGAGGAGATAATGTCTACGCTCCCCCCACAAGTCCTCCACCAGCTAAAAAGTGATCGAGGGGAATGTCGACGATGGTCATATATCGCTGATCTCGTCCGTCATAGTAAGATTGTGGGGTTGCAAAAGGTTACGAGACACAAGAGCTGCAATGAAGGAGAACGTCGTTAACAAGGTATAAATTTCCTCTAGGAGGAGCTGCAGAGGCTGTGTATGATAGATTTTTAAAGGCACGAGACTCGAAAGGCATGACAACGGGGGACAAGATTTACGATGAACATTGAACATAGCGTTACGAATATGGACTATTCCAACACTGACACTGGGCGTCCCTCTCTTTTGCAATGATCAAATGTCTATCACTGCTTTCCACCATTTCGTACAAGGACAGCCTCGCACCGATCGGGAGTGGCATCCCTTGTTGGGTGGCTGGGCTTTGCTAGGCTCTGACGAGCGCCGTCGTTTCAGCTGGAATGTGCCCGCAAAGTGCAAGCTCGGCAGGGGTCAGATGGGCCTCATTAGCCCGGAGGATGCCCGCAATGGGGCGTCTGGGGGAGTGCTGTTATTGGCCTACGCGAGACCTTAGTGACCTCGGTGACCTCTGCCTCAAGCCCAAACCCGCGACTTAAGTAGTGCTGCGTTAGGTAAGTAGGTCAGTATGGCCTTGTGGCCTTGTGGCCTTGTTGCTCCGCCTCCTGCGTTACTCAATCCTCCTCGCTCACTTCCGATTCTTTTCATAGCAACTCCGCAGCCTTTGGCTATTGTCTTTTGTCTTATGTCCCTCTCGCTACCTCAGACAACTATTCCCTCCCTCTGATTCTCTTCGTTATCATCACATTCACTTCGATTCTTGCCCAACTCGAACGACGTTCGTCAATTCACTCATTCCATTCTGCACTGTCCGCAGGCCGGCCTCGGTGACTTCTAGCTGAAACCAGCCTCCCTCGAACATCTAGTCCACCGCCTTCATTTGAACGACCGCGTATGAGTTGACGACATACGATCGCGCTTCATAAGTTTGCTCCCGGAAACCTGTACGAAAATGGCGCACTATATTTACGCCCGCGATGTTGTCTCCGACGTTAAGTCGGTCCCAGATACATTCTCCAGCTGGGATAAATGCATGCAAAAATCCTACTGCAAGTACGTGTCGATCAAGTTCCTCATCGTGCTTGGCCCTAACATGGAGATAGGTGGCCCGTCATTGCCGCGATTGTCATCGGTTCCCTCATCCTACTTTCTGTCCTCTTCTGCATCGCCCGGTGCATTTGCTGTGGGGCCGAAATCTGCTCCTGCTGTATGAGCTGCTGCGGCGGCTGTTGTCGAGGCGGTCGAAGTCGCGATCGTCCTTCGAAATACAAAGACGACTACACCCGTATGCCTCCTACACCTTACCAGGGATACCAGCCCGCTCCCAGCCCCATGGCATATGGCGGCGTCAATCCCAGCGTGCCTCAATTCGCGACTTTCGACGATCCCAGCACCAAGAGAATGATCAATGAAGATGCTCTCCCACCCATGCCTAGCTGGGACACTGCAACCAAGCGAAGAGTCGAAGACACCAGCGAGCCGCCACAGCAAACTGCGAACGGCGATCTGGAGATGGGGAGACTCGACTCTCAACCGCAGAGGATGAGAGGAGGCTACAATAGCGTTCCCAATAGACCCATGTCGCCTGTTTCACAGAACTCGCAAGCCAATTATCAGAACAACTTCCAGCCGATCCCACTAAGCCCGCCCCCAACGTACCACTCCAATTCGTTTGCCCCTTCGGTTGCGAGCAACTCTGACAAATTCGTCGCTGGTGCTGCCAGTCCGAGTCCTTATGAGTACAGCCGGGGCCAGCAGCACCAGCCGGGCTATCACAATGCCTATGCTCCGAGCAACACCGTGAGCACGCTATACGAGCCGCCCCAGAATGATTACAGTTCGCATAGAATCAGTATGCCCAAACCCTACAACCCTGTGTCATCCCCACCGCCGCAGGCTCCATATCCAGATTCTGCGTCATCGCCATATGAAGCGCGGCCGCCGAGTTTCCTACAGGTGGGGAGAAAGCCTGTCTCTGGAAGCATGAGAGAAGTTTGAGTGTGGGAAGACGGATTTAATCTTTAATCGATCTTTCTCTTGGACCAAAATCGAAGTGGGGCCATTGGCGGTTACATTCTTGGACTCGAGACTTGAACAAACCCAGTTTACCTCGTACCGAATTTTCTATCGGCACCCTCTGTCTGAAATTAAGAGCATGGCGCTTCTCTGGATATCAATCTTCACTGCGAACCTACGCCCAAATAAGATATTTTGTGGAATTTGACGGCTCACCACTTCTTACAGTGGCTGGTAAGAGGTTATATTTCAGCATGAAATAAACACGAGAACCATCACTGCACATACACTCAAGTCGAAAGACCGATTTTGGTCCGACACGGCTACCGTGAAGGAAAGATCTATGCGTCAGTCAAGACTTTAAAATGAATAGGGGCCTAAACAGAGCGGGTGACAACAGCGTTCACGACTTCGACCCGAAGAGAGATTCAGGGCAGAATGCTACGAGCTGGATTCTGCCAATACTTTGTATTTTTATACCACGGTGCTCATTCCACGCCGCCCCCCTAGGCACAGGGTTTCCTGGGTTGTACTATTAGCAAGCCATGAATGATACCATACACACAGTCACGCGAGTTCAGCACCTGCAAAGGAAATTTTTTTTTTTTCAGGACGTTCGGTTCGGAAGGAGTTTTGTTTACTAGGACCGATTACGGGAGTACTGGCAACCTAGGCGCGACAAACCACGAGTCAGAAAAATCATAGGATGGGATGGATTAAGGAAGGAAGGAGGGAGGGTCTCAAGGAAAGAGCCTCGTCGATGCCACCAATCGTCCGTCCACAAGTAGAAGAACCACATAATTGTAACTCCGTCCATGCCCATAGGACTTGCCACGGGCATGTTTTGAACGACGAGTAGACTCTGCTGATCGGTGGCCGAGTCGAGCTAAATTACGGAGTAAAATGTGCGTTGGTATTGCGAGTACGTACGTCCCTGATGACTGGACTACGGGAGTGCCTACTACCTACAGCAGGCGGTAATCAAAAACTCGAATCCCATGATCCTATAACCCCATAATGCCACCCGACCCATACGCATACGGAACAATGAGTTGATAACTAGAGTGCATTGTACGTCTGTCATACATCTGGCATGTCCTTCCTGCGAGACATGCATACCTGGAAGCCCGGGCGTTTTCAAAGACTGCCTCGTCATCCTTGACCATTCCTTGATACCCCTTCCCTTCGAGCCACCTTCATATTCAATCTTCTCATCTTCATTCACAGTTCGTCCTTCTCCCATCCCTCTCCTCCCTCTTTGCACTCACCACCAGCAGAATCCGTCCTGGTCATGTTCCTCACCAACACAGGCAATCCTTCCAGCGCCGCGTGCCCTACGAAACCATCAACGAGCCTCAACGCGGATGCTTCCCGGAGGGAGACCACTCCCAGGAACGCCTCTGGTTCCCAGGGAACTCCTCCTCTCTCGGAGATAGGAGGCAGGTCGAACACATTGAATTCAACGTCGGCAAACTGTTTCAAGGCCGTCTCGGCCTGGGTGAGCAGGTTCAGCGTGATTTTCGCCTCTGGCGTGACTTTGAACGCGGGAGTGGCTAGGGCCGCGGGCCGTCGGTCTTTCTTTGCTATAGGTGTGAGTTCGGAGGCAGTGGGTGAAATCCCTAAAGCTGACAGCATCCTAGAGGAGATGTAATTCTCTGCCAGTGCCAGATCAATGTCTGCAAGGAGAGTGATGGGCTCTTTGGCGGTATTTTCCACGATGATTGGAAGTGTATCTTGATCTCGACCGGCGAGCTCGGCAGCATGGAACCGCTGTGCTGTATCTCCTTCGGCAGCTTCGGCGTTTGATGAAGGGCTATGAAGGACTAGCGGTAGGTTTGACGTCGTCAATGGTCGTGCTAACGGCCCGGACAAAGATAGTAGCCAGAGCACCGTCATTGTTCGAAGAGCCCGGTGAACAATCCCGGCCTGTACAGTCACCAGAGGGACGGGGTTGCGCACGCCCTGATGATCCACCGGTTTGGACAGCGGGCTGCCAATGAGTCCACCTTTGGCCAGTGGGCACAGAGCAGTCTCGGCCCACGCAACCAACAGGCCACCAATGCCTCCAACGCTCGAAGCCTCTGCAGAACCCATCGGGACAGCCTGCAGTACAGCAAGCTTCTGTGACAACGGAAGACGAGGCTGTTGCTGTGCGAGCAGCATCGGGAGGAGGTGTCGTGTCGAAGGGATAGATGCCATTGCACAATCCCAAGGCACAAGTCGGACCACAGCAGCCAGTCGCGGCCTTCGGATCAAATGTTGTGCTCTTGGGCCTGCTAAAGGAATTGAAGATCGACTTCACACTGGCGACGATGGTAGGGTTGGGTTCTTGTGTCTTGGTAGGCCTAAGAGTCTTCTGTTCTTGCTCGGCCGCATTGGTAGGTGATGACAACACGAGAGCAAGGAGTGGAATAAAGACGGGAAAAATCATCTTATTTTGCTGTGAGATTGACCGGCTGGTTTCTTTTGGTTGAATGTCTTGGGTTAAGGCTTGGAAGTGGATGACGAGCGAGACATTTATACACCAAGTATCTGGACAACGCGGTGTGAGTTTGAACGTCCCTCGATATCATATTGCGGTTCGAAATAGATTTCACTGCTCCAAAGGTTCCTGGAAGTATAGCTAGAACACAGGCGATCCCGCTATTAGATGTGATGCAGCTTCGGCCGCCTGAAGAAACTGCTAACGGTGATCGAGAAAAGCTTCAAGGTTACTGTGCGATTCGTTGGTCAACACCGATCTCACCGAGGCGCAATATCGAGCGGCGAATGGTGACAGCCGTCAGAAGGCTTAGCTGGTCAAGCAATGTTCCAAGAGATCCCTATCCAGGCGGCATTGGTGGATTCTCGTATATTTTGGGAGAACCTTGTTCAGTGTAACTTTGTGGTAGGTCGATTCATCTGACCGTCTCAGGAAAGCTGAACACTCTTCACTTGCATGTCAATTGAGACGGGGAGGTCCCTCCGATAAGGCTGCTTACTTACAGAGCAGTCGGTTGACGAGCGCAAGGAGTGAACAGGGATGGGGTGCGCCTTTCGATGCCAGCTAAACATTATGCGACAAATATTGTGTAAAGCCCGACCGTTGATACTCAGGTCCCGCGTCTTATTGGCTGATCTGCAAAGTAGCCTGGGGCGCCTGAATAGGCCATTCTGGATCGATGGTATTCAAACATGCCACAAATCCGGTCGGCCATTGGGGTGTCGCGATCCACGCGCATAAGGGGGTAAGTGTTTCTTGCCCGAAAGTCCTGCGCCGCTTGGTCTGTGTTCCGCCTGGAATTTTCAACCCTTTATCAGTTTTGAGATAGGAGTACGTATGTCGAGGAGCGGCTCGGTTTCGTGGTCGGACCAAAGAAAAGCAAGAAATTGGTTTGCACTATGAGACGAGTTGCCATTTCCCCTTGGAAATCTGCACAGCTTGACTGTGCCTTTGACCTGCTGCCGCCTTGCCGTCGGACCAGTCTCATAGCATGACGCCGAACTCGAAACCCTGTTGTGCGCTACCGTCGACGAGAATCCGTCTCGTCTCCTGCTTGATAACCTGGTTTACATCCTCCCTCGAAGTAGTCCCACCACTAGATGCTCCCTTTTGTCTGTCGCCAAAAGCTGCCTGCGAGAGCCCCGATAAGCTCAGTTTGGCTGCGATATCGCGAACATTGTCGCGGGATGCCCAGTATGCTTGGAAGCCAAGTATTAGTCCAAGCAAGAGGTAGCAGAAGCTCCATGCCACTAATATAGCCAAGGGTGGAAGAGGCACTTTAGAAAGGAGCATATGGTCACGCTGTTGTTGAGCAAGAGCAACACGACCGGTGGTGTAGCCACCAATGTATGCTAAGACCTTGGTATAGTATAGCCTTCCAAATTTCTGGAGAAAAGAATCGGTCGTGTTTCCAGCCAGTGCAGACTGCGTGAGGTAATCTTGTAGAGCAGGATCACCACCACTGATAGTCGCATACAGCAAAGAGCCATGGAAAATTTCCAGGATGCTGCCATTACCAGATGGCACGGCATTGATATCCTGCAAGCCGCCATCGACCCAGGTATATGAAACGTCGTATGAGGCCACGGCGCAATCAAGAATGAAATCCACGACGCCGGCGGAAATGAAAGTGGCGTCTGTGTTATTTGTCAGCATTTCATTGCCAGACACAAATTGTCCACTTGTTGTCGAGATTCGCGCAGCAATGCCGACATAGAATGGATTCACCAACTGAGAGTTGGGATATGGAGAGATGCTTAGGTCGAAATCGCCCGAGTCATTGTAGCCAACAGTATTGTAAATGTTCCTCATTCCCGAGTCGTTGAAAAAAGAGTACATCAGGTTCGCGGCTCCTTTGTACATCAAGAATGAGCGATATGGATCTGGAGGACGTGGATTGTTTATGTTGGTGATCATGATCGGTGGCATTCCGATGGTGCCGTGGAACATATCAGTACAGCTGAAGTTAGTATAGTAATTATCCCAGAGGGCCATGCCACAGCTAGAGGGCTTGACAAAGCGGCACGTTGTAGATATTCCAATGGTAGACGCTTGGTAATCAATGTTGGGAGCAATCCTTTGTTGTTGCGGAATGAGGTATGCCAGACCAGCTCCTGGAACGTCCTCTGTTGCTGTAATTCGAATCTCTGAGAGTTGCGAAGTGTTGTGCAACAGCCGATTCATTGCTGTTGCCTCGAGATTGGCATTTGGGTCGACTTGTCCAGAGTCAGTCGTGTCAGAACAAGGCAGTCCCACCAAAGTTCGGTTAAAGGTCAAGCAAAATTCTGAGAGACCACGTCCAAATTCTTGATCGGGCTGCGGCAGAACCAGTATCTGATCAAATTCAACGGTCGATGTCGTGTAATGCAAGATCGTGTCCGCAATGAACACTCCGGCAGCCATAACTAGACTGAGGAGCATCATGGAAGCGGCGCAGTGCAAAACTGGCGGGATGCTGGGTCTCCGCCGGCGGAGAAGATACCAGAGATAAGACCGCAATTGCTGTGCAGACGCGATCAAAATCCCAATGAGCAAACTCATCTGAAAAGAAGTCGGTAGATTGAGGTATTTCGCTTCTCTAGATGCATCTCGCAGTCTCCGGGAGACGGGAAGAGCAAAGATAGACAATATGAAAGAGCCCAGTAGCGGCGCCAATGTAGACAGGAAGCTGGCCACGAAAACCAATCAGGCTGCAGAGAGTTAGCGTTGATCGACAGCTTGCCAACTTTGGGAAATCTTACTTGCAGAAAAGTTGACAAGAACAAACCCAGGCCCGCGCAATGATGTTTCTGTTGGCTTGAACAAATTTGGAACAAGGTCGATTCTGTAAATATAAACCAGATCAAGTAGAGCACCGGCCAGGAGAGCGATGGGAATGTAAATAATTGTTGCTGGGAGTAGTATTGTTTGGATCAGGTTTTCGTTGGGCAGCAATTCTGGATCGAGGCTAGATTCTTCTTCTGGCATTTCATATTGCCATCGTATGAAAGATCGTCTGAAATCGTCTTGCTGGAGAGGCGGTTCGTTCCGAAAGCTTAAAGATGGAATGCGCCTTTGCTCCATTGCAATATCCTCTTGCGAAGGGAAACGTAAGCTATTCCTTTTCGTGCGAAAGGCAGCAACTCGCTCTGAGAAGGAGACGAGCTTCTTCGGACGTTGATTCTCACTTTCCATGGCGGACCATTTCAGGGCAGATAACAAAATAACGTGAAGGAAGTCTGTCACGGACAAGCGAGAACATAAAAGCAAGCACCCATACAGAAGACCTACCTATTTCAAAATAAAACTGACTCGGCCTTTAGCCTTGTCTTGACCATACATATAGAGCTACTATTTCGTCGGTCAGGAATGGTATATCTTGACGGCGTAGGGTAGGGGCCGCTGGTGGGAAGACGCTGAAGATCAGCCTCGAGCAGGCGGAGAGAGCGAGCCCTGCGGGTATTCCCATTGGCTGCACGTCTGACTGCTGGCGTATAACTGTGGACCATTCATTTTGCATGGGAGGCTTCCAGCTGCACAAGTCAAGGTTGAAAGAGGCAGTTCATGCATATACGACGAGCCGTTTCATGATGACCATAAATTTTGAATGATGTTGCTGTAAACCCCTGGTCTGGGGTCCTTTCGTGGCCCCAATATTCTGCATAAGCCAGTTGGAAGAGGATATCCTTCCCGAGGCATCGTCCACAGGCACTGAGCAGGGGTTGATATGTGAGGGGCTGTAGCCAGCTGGCGAAAGCCACAGTGCTGACTGGCTTAGGTGTCGACATTGCCTAAGGCCCGAGTTTGCCATGTGCTCACATACAAAGTATGGCAACCTTTAGGCCGGAAAGATCGAGATGCAAGACAGAATGACCTGCGGAAACCGATAAAGGGTGATTCATGGGGCATTGCGGTTTGAAGTTGAGAGGTTGATAGCACAGAAGGAAGAACAGGTATGAGGGTGGAAATGAAGGCAAGGCTTGGGTAGTGCCAAGAAAGAACGGCAGTCAGTCTGGAAAGAGCACGTGACCTGCATCTAGCGAAGCCCAAGGCGCCATTCAAGACGCGCAGCTTCCATCAGTCAACCCATCTTGAACATCCAATCCCTCCATCCATCATCCCTCTGCTGCCTTGCTGCAGCTCCCTGTTTCTTTTCTTTCTTACTTCTGTATCAACACCCTTCTTCTCTTGTATTTTGCGAGACTTCTTTCCGAATCGCACAGCAAAGCAAACGCTTTCCACCCTCTCAGTAATCATGGACACACTCGTTGCCCAATACACTCAAGCTCCCTTCGCCAATGAAGGCTTTACCCAAGAAGAACAAAATGACTACTGCGAGACGCTACCTCCTCTTTCTCTCAAATTCGCCCTACCGCCTGTTCCGCGTCCTTCTGCCTTTCTCCGAGCAGCAACGGACGACTACTCCAACCCGAATTGCCCGATTAAGATTGCTCACGGGACTACCACCTTAGCTTTCAGATTTAAAGGAGGAATCATCGTCGCAACCGATTCCAGAGCCACCGCCGGCAACTGGATTGCCTCACAAACAGTCAAGAAGGTCATTGAGATTAATCCGATGTTGCTGGGGACCATGGCCGGTGGAGCCGCTGTAAGTTTGGTGCCTGCGGTCGTCATCGGAGGTCTGTTGACAATTTGTAGGACTGTCAGTATTGGCTTGCTTATCTCGGTGTCCAATGTCGATTACACGAACTTCATCACAAGCGACGCATCTCGGTTGCTGCTGCCTCCAAGATTCTGGCGAACCTAGTGTATTCTTACAAGGGGATGGGCTTGTCCATGGGAACTATGATTACGGGTGTGACACCGCAAGAGGGACCTGCTCTCTACTACATCGACTCGGACGGCACAAGGCTGGCAGGCAACCTCTTTTGTGTTGGATCAGGTCAAACTTTTGCTTATGGTGTTTTGGATGCTCTCTACAAATACGACCTGGAAGATGAAGAGGCCCTGGAACTGGGCAGGCGGAGTATCCTGGCAGCCACCCACCGAGATGCCTACTCCGGCGGCTACATCAACCTCTACCATGTCAAGGAAGACGGTTGGGTCAAACATGGTTTCTTCGACACGAACCCTATTTTCTGGGAAACAAAGCTGCAAAAGGGCGAGTTTTCTAATGTCACGAGCGAATTATCCTGAGGACATGCCGAAAAGGGGACGGGGCACTTGCATTTTCGCTGCCGGGCGTTGGACTTGGGCGGGTGGAGCTGTACTAACATACTGAATCAGTGTGTACTAGAAGGCTTTTCCAAGGCTTTTCACCCAGTGTATTACAAGATACTGGGATCGGTGAGAATCTATCTACCACACAATGTTGTGTCGCCTGTTCGGTTGTTCGCATGCTTGATCTTTGTGCACAGTATCCTTGTTGTCTACGGAGTAATATTTCTATGGAGTTCCATCCTTGTCACCCTTCCTCTGGTTTAGCTACTTTTTGTCCATTTCCTCGAGCGCCCCCTCCAAGCGACGCTGCTCGTCCGTGTTCAACAGCCACCGTAACTCGTCTCTGTGTTCCTTACCCAGCGCCTCGGCCATTCGTTCGGCGGTCATAAAGTCATGATCCGCGTATTCAAAGCCCGGAACGACCGTCTCGCTGATCAACAACCCTTGGCCGCTACTCCTGTTGTCACTGCCCTCTTCGTCGGGGAGCAGAAAACTCGCCTTGAACTTCCCACCCTCGACGATCCACTGTAGCTTCTCTCCCTTCTCAATATCCTTGCCCACGACAAAGGTCTCCACGGGGGCTTCGCCGCTCACAGGATCCCTCTGGTCAAAATGCAAGATCACATAGCGTCCTCGTCCCCAGTGCAGAGTGTGCACTGTCCGTCCCCTGTTGCGATGGAATCGCCCTACGGGACTTTTCGGACTCAAGAAATAGTAAATTGTCGTCGATGCGTGCCTGGTGTCGGACGTGTCCTTTGAAGTGGCATTCGTCAACAGCGGAAGGTTTTTAAATGGGTTGGGCACGAGGAGGCGGTCACGGTCTGTTTCGTGGAAATAGCCGCCTTCAATGTGCGATTGGAGCTGGAGGGTGGTGATGGTGCGTGAGATGACTTGGGATTCGGTGGACGGTGGAGACGAAAGGAGAGAGCGGACGTAGTGTGTATCGTCGCTCGGGATTATGGACATAGTTTCTTAGTCCTTCTGGGACTGCGGACTCGTATAAAAAAGGTTGATGGGATGGTTTGGAAGCTGATACACTCGCGACTCGCGGCGCTGCTGTATGGCGTTTTCAGACTTGCCAATCCTGTATATGTAGCAGAAGAATCAATATTTAGTCGCATTCCCACCGCAATATCCCGTAAAAGGGCTCCGGTTGATTTCTCGAGAAGTTGACAGTTGATGTGAAGGCATCATAACTGGGATGCAGCGGATATACCGAATCTTATGCTTATCTAAGCACCGTGTGTTGATTTCGGTGGGATATCTTGGTGCCATGCATATGGGCCTGGTGGGCCTGATTCAACTGAACGGAGGGTTGGCATCAATTGGCTCCGACTGCTACTAGACCGCAAAGGTAAGTCTTTAGAAAGGTAGCTTATCTTTTGGGAGGTACGATTTAAATGCCACATCCTATGGTCAACCTCCTGGCGTTGCCGACCGTCTCCATATCACCACAGCGGCTGCAGCAGCGCAAACCACAACTCCCAATGCTAACCCATACCTCATCAGCTGCCCGTCATCGTCATCTTGAAGTGGCCGCGGGTAAGCTGTGACTGGCTCCAAACCGGCCTCAGAAATGACCACGAACAACTCCTGAATGGAAGGCCAAGTGACACTGGTGGATATCGGAGGCCCTTGAGGCATTCTTTGAATTTGAGCAACATACTCATCGGGCTGATTTTCAGCTCTTTGGGTGGTTCGATCAAGATCAGCTTTCAGAGCAACGTACACAGACGGCAGATCTTCTAGGTGGGGATATGTCTTCCGGATGTTTGGAATATACGCAAACGAGTCCGGGTCAGACGAATCGTAGGTGTAAACAATTACGTCGCACTGGTCCAGAAGCTTGCTCTTGTTCTCCAGAACGGCTGCCTCGGATTCCCCCAATTCCTTCAATATGAGGTAACATTGTCTCCCGCCGGGTAGTTCCACGGTATTGACTGCCACACGGGGCTGAATGGTGGGATGATAGAGACTGTTGAACGGTTGAGCCAAAAATGCATCCAGCAAGGCAGACTTGCCAGATTGAGGTGCACCCAGTACGTGAGCGAGAAGGACGTTCCGGCCCACTCGACCTGGTTTCCGCCTTCGCTTGCGGGGTTTCGTCAATTTCAAAGCCGCCGTTGTGCTGGTGTTTGAACGGTCTGTCGATTCGAAGCCCAGATATGCGAGGTATTCCAGGGTAGTCTTTGGAGAGGTGAATGTGGTCATCGACCATTGTGCAAGCCAGCCCTGTAGAGTGACATGGCCAGCGTCATTTCTCACGGTGCAAGATGGGAAATCGTTGTCGATCCACAGCTGTGGGATTCCGGGGGTTGGAGCAAACAGAGATGCCAGTTCCTCGTTTCTGAGGCCCCCATCGTTGTCTCGATCCGAAGTGAGGAATAGATCGACAAGAAAGCGATAACCAGCCGGGGACAGCTCAGCGGAAGCATATTCGGGCACTTCAAACTTGGGATGTAGAAATGATTCTTGTAGAGACAGACTGTCGGTGTATTGGAATGTTCGAAGTATGACCCAGATTGTCTCATGACGTCCCTTTTCGGCGTAGAGTTTGTTGAGGAGCAGGAATCCCCGAGAGGTGATGCCTTTTGGGGAGGCAGCTCCCGGGATGTGATTGTCAATAGTTTCTTTGATATGCTGTAGATCTTCCGAGCTCAACCCCTTGTCAAAGCATTTGGTCTGAAAATCCTCCATCTCTTTGTCGTTCAGAAGGCCATCTTTGTCCTTGTCGCAGAGGTAGAATATTCGAAGCAAGGCGGCTACAGCAGCAGGTTTGAGGACCGATTCTTTTGCATCAAACAGAGGAGCGATTGGGTGAGTGACAGCTTTCTGGCAGAGAAAGAATGCTTCATTGACATTGAAGTGATCACGGGCACTAGTTCGTATACATGAATCAATCTCTTTGAACTCTGACATGACCGGCAGCATTTCCTCCTCGACTATCTGAGCGGAGGTAGATGTCGTAACCAGGTCGGATTTGTTTGCGCATAGGATGACAGGAAGATTGACAC